GAAAGCCCCAGCTCAGTGCCTGACCATAATAGATGCTCAGTTAGTGATAGGACTCTGAGTCAAGCATATCTGGATTTGAATTCTGGCCTTGACACTTTCTAGCAGTATGACCTTGGGGAAATTAATTAATCTCTCTAAGCTCCTGGGGGCGGGGCTGGGAATGCCGCGGCGGTGGGAGTGGGCCGGTGGGGATGCCGCCGGAGGGGACCTCTCTCCTGGTGGGGTGGTCTGGGACAGCGGGGTGGCGAGGCCTGGTGAGGGGTGTGGGGCAGTCCGGGCGCCCCCCGCCCCCCGCCAGGCTCCGGGCCGGAGTCGTGACGTCACGGCGGCTGGAAGTGCCCGTCGCGGAGGCGCGGGAGGGGGCGGGGGCCGAGCGGGTGCTTTATAAGAGGAGCCCGCCTAGCCCGCGGAGCCGCAGCCCGCGTCCCCGAGACCCCCGGCTGGCCCGGCCCCGGCCCCCAGCTCGCGCTCGCGCCCCGGGGGGCGGCTGGGCGGCGAGGGACGGAGCGCCAGGCGGCGGGCGGGAGAAGGGACGCACGGCGGGCGGCCGCGGGGCATGAGGCGGGGGCGCGATGTCGGTGCCGCTGCTCAAGATCGGGGCGGTGCTGAGCACCATGGCCATGGTCACCAACTGGATGTCGCAGACGCTGCCCTCGCTCGTGGGGCTCAACGGCACCGTGTCCCGCGCGGGCGCCTCCGAGAAAATCGTGAGTGGCCGCCGCGCGGGGGGCGCTCCCGGGGGGCGTGGTGCCCGCGCCGCCGCCGCAGCAGCCCCCGGGGGCCCCCCGCCCCATAGTTTCCGGCCGGAAGGCGCCCTCTTGGGTCTGGGGGCTGGACGCGGAGGTGGAGGAGACCCCGGACCCCTAGCTACCTCCGTGCCGTTTCTTATTGTTATGTCTTCTTATTAGTGAGCAGTGTCCGAGTGGCAACAATGTACTAGGCTCGCTCCCGCCCCGGGCGGAGGCGGCGAGGGTCCTGGCTGAGTGGGCAGAATGGGAGGGTAGATTTCGGCGGCTGGGACCCTGCCTCTGAATGGGGGCGCCTCGGGGTCTCCAAGTGTCTCCACCTTCAGGATCTCTTCCTATTTGTGACTCGGTACCTCTGAGTAGTCCCGTGTCTGTCTGTGTGTTTGTCCTCTCTGTCTCTCTGCCTATTCTTTTCCCTCTGGTTTGCTTCTCTATTTGTCTCTCCCTGTCTCCGTCTCTATGTCTATAGCGGTGGCTCTGACTTTGTATCTCTTTTTGTCTGCCTCTTTTTTTCTCTCCCCTGCACCGCCCCCCCCCGGTTCGGCATCCCCCTCCTCATTACCTGCCGTACCATGTGCTGAATATTTATGTCCGTAACTTGCCCTCCCTAGGAGGCAGAAGGATCTCAGACTGGGGCAGGAGCTGACGCTGCCCCCAGAAGCTCCAGTATTGCCTCCTTCCCCATGCCGTCCTATCCCCTTCATCCTCCAGCTTTCCTGCCACAGATCTGGGGGCAGGGGAACTCAATCGGGGTTAATAATGGTGGTTGGGGTGTCCTGAGGAGAGGGGAGGAGGCATCCTCTACTGCAAACTTCCCTCAGCCTCCCCCAGATAGGCCCCTCCCACTCCTTCCCCTCTTGGATCTGTTTTTGGAACTGCTCCCCATACGTGGAGCTGGGTTGCATGGGCTCCCTCTCCTGCTTGATGTTTCCCCAACTTCTCCAGCTCCCGTGTTCAACCCTCAGTGGCCACCACACCAATTCTTTCTCTACCCTCGCAGAAAGGAAAGGGGTCTTTGCTCCCAAGGGTTGCAGGCGAGTATGAGCGGGGGTGGGGGGGTGCATGTACTGTGCCCTGGGCTTGGCATAGGTGAGGGCTTTCAGTCCAAATTCTGACTTGAAGCCAATGTGTGAAACAGTGTCTTTCTGTGTGTCTCAGAGTATGTCCTGGTGTGTCTGTGGGGTGTGTGTGAGTGCAGGGTGTGAGAAAGTTTATGTGCTTTGCCAGCATGAGGGTCCAAGTGTCTTCCTCTGTGTGAAGATGCATCCCAGAATGACTGTGGGTGTGTTCCTGAGTGAGTGTGTCTGGGTATGGCTGCATCTAAGTGTGTATCTGCAGTTGTCCCTGACTGTGGGTTTGTGTGTATTATGTGATTGCATGTACGCATATGAATTTGTATACATGAGTCTGAGACAGCTTCTTGTTGTTGCCTTTTGAGAGACAAGAAAGATATTGTCTCCTTGAAATCAGAAGCCAGACTCCCCTCTCCCACCACCTAAGGAGTGTGTTTGTGTAAATGTGTGCATGTATTATGTGCAGCATATGATGTGTAAGTGAGAGCATGTGGTATGTCTGGGGAATGTGTACATAAGTATGTAAGAGCGTGTTTCTGAGTCATGATTTTGTGCGTGCATATGTATCTGTGCAAATATGTACTTATGCATGTGTTTTGTGTGCATAAAATTGTGGACACTTAGGTCTTTAGAAGCGTGTGCATATAAATGCAAGTGTGTATCTATAAATGATGTGTGTGCCTACGTTGTATTACATGCATGTGGGTGGATTCATGTGTGTACCATGTGTTTTCTGTAAGTGTGTGTGTGTGTGTGTGTGTGTGTGTGTGTGTGTGTGTGTG